AACGGGTTCATAATCTCAACCCACATACCTTAAGACTACAAAAAACAATATGCAAACTTAAAATGCTAAAAGTGAAGTTCAGGTTGGCAAGATATAACAGTTGCTTGTGATGCTTCTCTTTTTCATGTAAAGAAAGGATATTAATATGACTAAAATATAACATTACATAACCTTTGACGGTTTATGCGGAAACATGACTTAATAAAATTATCTCAACTATCATTGAAATGGGAACGTTTTAATGGTCCTGTACGAAATATTCAGAGAGGATTGTTCTAATTGTTTATGATCCGATGAAATAAGAAAATTAATTTAAAAAGGTATGATTAGGCTGCTTAATGTTGAACAAAGTTCGTTTAATGCTTAGATATATAATTTCCAAATCACACATCTTAAGGAACCAGTCTTATTTTATCGTCTAGGGGGGTGAGGGGAGAAGGTCGGAGGTTTATGGTTATGCCACAATAAATTTTTTTCGAGCTCCTTAGTATTTTAATTTTCTCCCTTATTCTTGGTTTTCACCCAAGTTACTTTTGTCTTGACGGCAGTTGCTATCCGCCATGTTGGTGCTCAAGCAAATAGTTACAAATGCGCTTGTAGTTAGGTGAAAGTGAAAAATTAGAAATGATTCTTTGTGTAGTTTTCGGCTGTGGCACCAGAACTGATCAGAACAAAGGAATTGGATTTTATCGAATACCATCAGTTGTTAAAAGTTAGTCTTCCTTCGAAGAAGAATTGAAAACAGAGAGGAGAGAGAATTGGACACAATCGATAAGTCGCGGCGACACGATATAAGAAAAAAGCTAAAGACAGACCGGCACGGACTCTCTAGGTGGCTTTTGAGGTTGCGTCGCATTATCTTCTTCAAATAATATTTTTGTTCTCACAAGCATGTCTTAAAGGAATTTCCCTTTGGTAAGAGATGATCGGAGGTTTTGTAAAATTTGTTTTCAGCAAGTGTTTGGAGGAAGTTCTCCTCATTGAATTACAACGAATTTTCTTTAAGGATTAAACCAAGCATTTCCCCTAAGTGCATTCGGATTGTGCGTTATGATTGTGGAAAATTCCCTATGTTTCACATACTATATTCGTTCCTTCTTCTTGACGTATATTGACGTGTATCCCTTTCTGCGATAATCCAAATGCCTTCAAGAGGATCGTTCATCCGCTGCGAATGTCTCACCTTCGCTACAACAACAATCTTGTTTATAATCTCTGCTCCTAGAACTGATGTTACGAAGCCAGACACTATTTGGTTGTACGCTTCAAGACTTTTGAATGTTTTAAATTGCTTATTTGTCAGGAATAACTTGTCTCCAAAACAAAATAAGAAAGAAGGTGCGAGACTTCTATCGAGGGCTGACATTCTGCTTGGAATGGCTACTGGATCGACACCAATCACAAAAAATGTACTTAAGTTATCGCTCTCGAACGTGGCTTTCTAGGCCCTCCGCGTAGTTCGAAAGCACAGCTATTCTAAGGAGAATATTCTCTTGTGATTCTGGATTTTTTTCACCAGAAATATTCATAAAACAAAGTATTTGAGAGAGGGCACTGTAGAGATGGCAATATATTTGCACACCTGAGGTGGGCACCAACATGGCAGACGCTTAATTTGCATATATGTATGACCGTCAATTTTCTACAGCCCCCCTTTACATTCTGTTAATGACCACTGATTCTCCCCTCTGTTCCCGATGAAAACCACGTGATCCCCACAAAATCCCCCGATCCCAACCCCTGGCGACCAATAATGACTGGCCAAGAGACTTGTCCTTTGTGACTTACCAAATGGTCTTTTTGCATTAAAGACGATAATGTTTAATGCAGAATTAAATTGTTTTAAGACATATAGTGAAGCTCACGCACTCCAGGATAAATATGTTTTTTTTCCAAAAATATTTAAAACCCTTGACCATTTTTTCCACTTGTTTCACACAAAG